CTTTTGTTGTTCTTTTAAAAATGCAACATAAAAACAAATAAGAGAGTCTCTGAGTCAAACATTTATTTTTTCTGAAGCCATTTCTTTTCTTTCCTCCACAGTGAATTCATCCTCACTGTACCTCTCATCTGTTTCCTCTTAAGCCAGAAATGAAGGACACCTAGCAAGAGTGTTTCTCAGCATCTCTGTTTTCTGGAACAACCCTTTTTTGTCCCTGATGACCCCACCTGCAATGGCTGATTGGCACATTGACCTTGGCTAGTCTGAAATCCATTCAGCAGAACCTTCATACATTCTTGTTGATAGAAACTGTTGGAACAGATGGAGGAGTTGGCTAAAAGGAACATGCTTATTATCACTGAAAATGTTCCTCTTCTTTCCAGCTTGGCTCCCCAAGCTGGGGGTGAACAGGAGATCCTAGACTCAAAGAAATCCACATATGGCAGCTGCTAAGGTCATATTTTCCTCCAAGTGCTTGAGCATTACGTTCTTTAGATAGGTGTAGGGATAATGTGTTGCTAAGCATCAGGCAAGGACTGCATTGAAAATTTCTGGTTTCTGTTTGACACATACCCAAGTGGCACCACACAGACACACAGAATTTATTTACACATAGAACACTTATTTATTTCCCAGTTTCTGTGAGTTGGGAAACTGAGCACAGATGAGCTGGGTGCTCTGGCTTAGGGTCTCTCACAAGGCTACAGTCAGGGAGTAGAGTCATCTCAAGGCTTAACTATGGCGTAATCTGCTTCCAAGCTCATTCAGATAGCTGATGCAAGATTCAGCTCTTCATGGACTGTTGGACTTGAGGGCCATTGGCCCAAGGAATCCTTCAGTTCCTTGCCATGTGGGTCTCTCCATAGGGCAGCTTACAGCACGACTGCTTGCTTCGTGCAGGCCTGCAAAGGGGAGTCGGCTGGCAAGACAGAAGCTACAGTCTAATGTGAAAATATCAGAAGTGATATCCCACTACTCTTGCCATATTATGTTCATTAGAAGTGAGTCACTAGCTCTGGTCTACACTCAAAGGGGAGGGGATTACACAAGGGCATGAATACGAGGAGGAAGGGATCACTGGGAGCCATCTTGTTATGTCTACCATAACAGCTATGCCTTTTGACAATACTGGATTATGATATCCTTTCAAATAGAAGGGCTTTAAAAACTACTAACTCCACCACATCCCTGTCAGAAACCTGCTGCACATTGCCAGCCATAGAACATTATCTTAAGACAGTGATGCCAATGACTTATGTCACTCTTGTAGCAAACAACCTTGTTACACTACTATAGAACTTTTTTTTTTACTGCTCCACTCTTTCTTACCTAGAGTTCAGCCAGCTTTCATCTGAGTTTTACTACAGTAGTCAAAGAAATGCTCTTGGTTACCACTAAAATCATAAAATGACACAGCTAAAAAAAAATTTTCATTCTCATGTAGCCCAACTCCTTCATTTCACAGTGTGGAAACAGACTGAGAGAGGAAATAACTTGCTCTTGGACACACAGCTTGGTACTAGCCTGGCTGGGTGAGTCTACGTTAGGTTTTGGTGAACTTAACGTTGGTTTTGGGACAGGGCCAATTGCACTGCCTCTCTTGGGTGGCCTGAAGCATGGATGAAGATTAAGAAAACTAAGATGGAAAATAAGATCAGGAAGAAAAAAGTGAAAGAGGAAAAGAGGAAAGGGAAAAGTCAGAGAAAGAAACAAATAGGACTATAAAAGAAGAGGAAAGGAGAAAGGCTAAAAAACATATTCACAGTAGGTACCACTGGAGGGCTCCAAACTTTCTGATATAGCTGCTTTAATGCAATGACATTCCGATGTATCCATCAAAATACATACATTTATTGAAAGGCAGCACAGTGCAATGGTTAAGACTGTGGGCTCTGGAGCCAGAATGCCCAGGCTTGATTCCCAGCCTTGCCACTAGGTCATGTGACCTCTGCAAGCTACTGAATCCCTCTTGTTTTCTGAAATGGGAATGATACTAGTACACACTGAATGGGATTGCTGTGGGATTAAATGAGTTAACTAATGTTAAGTGCTTGCAAGAGTGCTGGGCACATAGAAAATTCTATTATCAAGTGATGGGGAAAACAGACTAATGTTATTTTCAGTCTTAACCTGTGTTTGAAGAGGTAATGAAGCTTGGGATAGAGGACAAGGTAAGGCTTAGGGATAGAATAAGAGGTGGCAGTTAAGGTAAGGTGTGTTGTGCATATCACCAGCAATATGCAGTCAAATCAGAATGCCTCATGCATAATCAAACAAATCAAATAGATAGTCCTTTTGCCCACTCAGGCATCCTTCTAATCTTTTTCCAGACCATTCCTCTTTCACTTCATGCTCTCTTCTTTTCAGCTCCTCATGCAGCAGGTGTTTGATTTTTCCTGTCACTCATCCTCTCAGGAGATTAACCCTCAGCAATGCAGAGCTGTAATGCAATTAGAACTATATAATAATGTTATAATATTATAAGTATGATGTGGTATCAAAATTACTTAATTTTATTTTTTGGTGCCGTCACTGTGGTTCCATTTCCTCCAGAGCTTTTTCCTTCTTCTTTGTTCTTTCTATTGAGGTATATATTCATTTGACAAACGTATGATAAAACAATTGCTTTTCAAACTAGAATTTGCTGAGTACCTATTGTATCGCAGACTCTGCAGTGTTTTAAATTGACCCTTACAAAAACTCTGTGTATTAAATATTGCTATTCTACTTGTAGACATAAGGAAAACTATACCTAGAGAAGTTGTCACTTGCCTGAGATTCCTCCATGTCCCCATTCCTTTAACAACACCTAGTGCTTCTGTATTCTATTCAGTCTCCAAGGCACAGGACTGACCTGGACTTCACTAGGCTCCATGCACCAGGGCTGGTGCCTGAAGAGAAAGAACCATTCTAAGCAGAAGTTGGAGTTTTGTTTAAGGATGGTCTTTATGAAGTAACACTGGGGAACACAAGCAGTGCTACTTCAATGCTACTTCAATGCCCAGGGGAAAACTGCTGCACAGAACTAGGGCAAGAACTGAGGAGAGCAGAGTGCCATTTTCCTACTCCACAAATTTGCCATGTGGGTGCCTCGGAAAGGAAATCAGTCTCACAGTGGCTAGGTGAAGGGGCACCCTTGGGGTACCAGAGCACAGAGCTGAAGAACATGTAGGACAGCCCCAGGCAATTACTGGGGTGAGGAGGAAATTGAAGGGTCTGAACTCTTTTACACAGGTGGGAATGATGAGGCAGTGAGAGTTGAATAATTATGCTTATCTGTGGCTCTATCTGTGTTGGTGGGAAATGTGATCACACAAAAATGAATAAGAAATGGTCCTCAAAGAAGAGAAATTTTGTGAAATCGGACATGCAAACATAATTAAAATGTGACAAGTACTATTAGAGTAAAATACACAGAGACTCAGAAAAGACTTTGCAGAGGAGATAATGACTGAGCAAGGCTCTAAAAGATGAACAAGAGTTTGCCAGATGAAAAAAGGTGGGGGATTATTCTAGATAGGAGGAATTTCACATATAGGGATTTAGTGTTATGAAAAAATTTTTTTCCTGGAGGGTGAGGAATTAAGTTAGGGACATATTGTGAAGGAACATTCCAGAAGATCTGGAATTTATTTTATAGGCAACAGAAAACCAGCCCAGACTTTTAAGTAAGGGTATTATGGAATCACATTCTTTTCTTTCTTTCTTTTTTTTTTTTAGAAGGGCAATTCAGAGGGAAATTTGGACAATTAATTGAGAGACTAAAGGTACCCAGGTGGTAAGGGGTAAGGACTAGGATCAGAAGACTGAAGGAATTTAGGAAAAGCTGCCAAGACCCGTAGCCAGACATCATAATACTATTTCAGAAACTGTGGTTTCAGGAACAGGAGGTTCTGTATGACAGGAGCATATTTGGTGGTGGGAGGAGGAAAGGATGGCATCAGCAGGAGAAAGAAAAGAAGGCTGTTCACTTGCATGCATGGTGCTGTGGTTTGAAGTGGCAAGTTGAAATCGAAGTTAGAGCAGAGTTGTCAGGGCCTTGAAGGACCAGGACCTGAGCCTTTTTTATTCTTGAACCCCACCCTAGCACTGGGGCCTGGAGCCTGGAATTGGGAAGAGGGGACGATGGGCTCCACAAATGTTTTTTTGAATTAAACTAGAGAACTGAAGGGAGTCTCCAGCTGAGTGAGAGTTGGAGCCTGCAGTAAAGTCAAATGGTCAAGTCGGTGACAGCTGGCTGCTGGAAGGAACCACTGGGTGAGCAGGATGCAGACCAGAGTAGATTACTGAGGACCATCAAAGATACAGTGGAGAGAGGGTTCTGGAGCCTGAACTATGTTGCCCACAGTGTGTTTGCTAAAATACTACCCGTTTAGAAAATCTTAACTCTCTTTTTACATTGCAGTTTAATTCCCTATAATGCTCCCAAATCGGAAAATAAGCAAATTTGAACTAACTCTGTTCTCTGGGACCAGAAGACCCAATTCCTACAGCGAATAGACAGCATCCACCTTACACTGATGGCTCCCTTTTGGGCAGCTGTTCCGAAAGAACACTTGCCAAAAAAAAAAAAAGAAGAAGATAATAATAAAATAAAAACGAGAACGAGAACACACCTATCTCAATCATCCCAACCGGCGAGTTTCGAAGAAATTGAATGTTTAAAAAAAAAAAAAGAAAGATCACAGACATAGCTCAGAAACCTAAACCATGAGAGCGGCATTTAAAAACCACCCACTTTCTGGAACATCTTTTGTAGCCAAATCCCAACCACCCTCGTCCCCGGAACCCTTCCGCCCTCCATCCCCCTACCCGACAACCACCACCTAACACTCTTGCAGGATGATGTTGCTCGATGGTGACGTGACCGCTCAGGTAAAGGGGCCACCCAGCCCCCCGAGGCGCTGGCGGCCGCAGCCCATTCGCTGCCGCCTCCTCAGCGGGAATGGGAGGGGCTGGCCCTGAGGGGAAGGGGCGGGGTAGGCGGGAGTGCGGGATCCGGGAGGAGGGAGAGCAGGCGCGGGGCGGGGGCGCGCTGGCGCTTGATCAGCCCTGCTTCGCCCAGGTCACCCGCTAACGCGCGCCGCAGTCGGAGCTTCAGACGCGCGGGCTCAGGGACGGCGCAGGGCTGCCAGAGGCGACAGCTTCGTCACGAACGAATATTTGCGTTCCGGGCTCCCGGCCCGCCGAGCCGGGGCTGAGTGGTGGGCACCGCCTAAGAACGTGAGTAGCTCGGTGCGCGTCTGGCGGTGATACTCGGTCCTGCTCGGGTTCGACAACTGGAGAGGAGGAGGGCGCGGGGGACCGATGAGTTGTCACCCGGAAACTGGCCCTGGATTCAGCCTAGCGCTCTCGCGGCTGGCAGCGCCGCGCCGGCCCTCCCTGCGGCAAGGCTAGCCTTGTCGCCAACTCCCTGCTTCTCCCTCAGGCCTCCGACCCCACCACGGGCGCTCGCTTGCGGGCACAGCTGAAGTACTACAGTCCAGGCTGGCGCGGGCGGACGCACACCACCTCCTCCGGTCTGTGGCCAACTTCTGCCTCCATACCTCATGCGTTCCGGAAAGCCCTGCCTGTCGGTCCCTCTGTGGGTAATTGGGCCTGGAGAGGCTACTGGGCAGGATTTGTCCCGCGTGGACACCCGGAGCCGAGGGTCACGCCCCAGTGCGGACAGGCCGGGGAGCGCAGGGGCCGGCCGGGCGCGCTCGGGCGTGTGCGCGTGCCAGTTCCCGCAGACACATCTGGGCGTGGGCTTTGTTTGGATGTGCTCACACCTGCGCTTCTCGCCAGAGTTCAGGGGCGAGCCGATCTCTGTTCTCACCGCCCTAGACAGAACTAGGGGAGTCAAGGGGAACGGGAGAGACCCCCAAGGCAACAGGGTGAGGGCTTTTCCGGGGCTTTGTGGCCCTACAGGTGCGGGCTGCGGGGATCCTGGCGCCCCGCCCCGCCTCTGTGGGCTGGGACTTGTTGGGGCTGACAGCCCGGGCTTGGGCGGACTGAGTAGAGCCCCTTCTCTGCCCAGGCTCCCAGAGGGGTATCTGGCAACAGCTTCGCCCGAGGAGGCTGTGTTGAGCCAGGAATGACTGCCGGCTCTGGAGCATCCATCTCGCGGAACGCCATCTGCTCCAGGCGCCGCTCCGGGCCCCTCCACGCGGTGCGAGTGGGCGCCTCAGCGCGACGGTCCCCGGGGGATCGCCGGCTTATCCATTCGCGGTTCGCATCTGCCAGGGCGCAGAGGGTGTGAGCCAGGGAGTCATTTCTCCCAGAGCGGTGTGCACCGAGCAGCAAGCACCGCGGGAGGGTTCCCTGGGCCTGAAGGGCTGGAGAACAAGACACTTTCCTTCCCTCCGGATAGTCTCCCAGCCCACCCAGCTCCCTGCCCGTGGCCGCATCTTCCTCTGCACGCTCGGGACCGCCTCTGCTCAGGCGAGGGCTCAGAGAGAGGGTGCCAAGCGCTTGCGTCTCTTTCCCACTCCGCCACTTTCCTGCCTTTTCGCACCAGCAGCTTCAGCCCGAGGCTACATCCGGCATGGAGCTGTCTGTTCTAAGAGGGAAGCGTTCTTTTCCTGCTTGATCGCGCCTGGTCAGCGCGCAGAGGTGCGGTGCCAAGGCTCAGGGCCCTTCTTTGCCTAAGTAGAGATGGAGGTGAATGTTATGGGGCAGGAGGCATTTGTGCTGCATCAGGAGCTCCCCCTGGGGCTATCTTGGGAAGGAATACAGTAGCCACTGAACACAAACCTAGGGAGGCTGGACTGCTTTGGCTAAGGCTGCTTTATGCTAACCCTGTCCTGTTATTGAAATATTGTAATGAGCTCACGAATAAACGAGACCTTCCAGAAGTACTAAAATGAGTTTGGACAATTGAATACTTCTACTTTAATGGTAATGATAGCATTTTTTGAAGCGCTTCAGATGTGCTGGGCGCTGTGCATCTTACATGCATCATCTCATTTAATTTCCGCAACAATCCTATTTTAAAAATTGAGAGATGAAGGCTTAGAGAAGTCAAGTAACTTTTCCAAGGCCACATAGCTAGGAAGAGGGGAGCTAGAATTAGCTTTTTGCCCCTAGGCTTTGCCATCCAAAACTGAAAATCTGGCTTTTTTGGAAGATTATCATTAGTTTAAGGGACGCCTGAGACAACTAAGTGTTCAGAATCAGGGACATATAAGCCCATTTGAATTTTGACCCCTGCAGACTTCATCATGGCAGGCAATATAGTAATTCAGGGAACTGTATTAAGGAATAGTCTTTTATTGTCTTGTATTGCCCTTGAATTTCTTTACAGGTTCCTTTATTCCTGTTAGCTTGGCTGTTAACTGACAGTCCAACCAGTTACAGTTACTGGACTGTTCTTAGGGACCAGAGCCCCCCTGTGATCACTGAGAAGCTGAGAGGTTCCTGGCACATTTTAATTTTTGAGAAAACTTTTTTTCGTTTTTGTTTTTTTTTTAAGGAAAGGAAAATGTTTCCATTTGGCAAACATTTCTATTTCGGGCTCCCAGACGTGAATCTGTTATGTAGATTCTTTTGACTGCAGAAGATTTGCTCTGTAAATTGGATGTTGAATGTGAATAGGACTCTAAGTATAAAATCTTAGGAAAGCATTCTGTATCCTAAATATATAAGACTGTGTGGCGCGTTTACAAAAATATTCCATGTTAATTAGTAGAAACAAGAATTTGAACTTAAATGAAATAAGCTATTCCTAGAATAGTTTTCAGAATGATTATAATTGACTAATTGGAAAAATGAGTTCCAAATCTTACTAACTCCTGGTCTTCTTTCATTCTGTTTTTACTTTATTATAAAAGAAAGTTGTTAAACATTTCACATAATCCAGGAATTTTAGAAGTGTAAGAGAACACTATCTAAACCTTTGGGTTTCAAAATGAATACAGTGAAGCTCTGAGAGGTTACCCAGCCCTCTAATGCAGGGTAGTGATGAGGTCTTTGGACTGTAGGCCATTGCCCTTACATCATATCATTTTTTTGTTATTGAATCAGTGACAGTAAGTAAAAACCAAGTCATGTTTGGAAATGGTACTTCCTGTGAGGCCAATGCAACAACGGCAATGATAGTTGGGTATGAGTGCTTCAGAAGCATGAGAGGGTAGTGAGGATGTATATACCTGTGCTGTAGAAAATTTTCTTAAGAATCAAATAGAATATGCAGATATTATATTGTTGAAGTACAGTGGAGCTATTTAATGGAACCCCACAAGAAGCTTTTCTGGTAAAGAGAGAACATTCATTCATCACAATTTACTGAGTGTATGGCATACTGTTCTAGGCACTGGGGATACAGTGGTGAGCAAAACACAGTTCCTGCTCTCTTGAAGGTTAATACTGATTTTATACTACACACTTCCACATACACAGATTTTTTTCCCCCCATACCGTATATGTACAGCTTGATGAACTTGCACAAACTGAACATACCAAACTCGTGCTCAGATCAAGGAACAGAACATGATGAATATTGAAGAAAGCCCTCTTGTGGCTCTTACCAGTCATTACTCACCCTAAGGGTAACTGAGACACCCATGCATTTTTCTTGCTATTCTCACCATGAAATCATAAAGTCTTTATCTTAGTCATCTCAGGCTGCCATAACAAAATACCATAGACTGGATGGATTAAAGAACAGACATTTATTTTCTAACAGTTGTAGAGTCTGGAAGTCAGAGATCAGGGTGCCAGCATCATCGGGTTCTGGTGAGCTCTCTTCCCTGCTTGCAGACTGCTTATCTTCTCCCTGTGCATTCATATATTCTTTCCTTGGAGATCTCTTTAAGGAGATCT